CCGCAGTGGAGACACCCCAGTCCGTGCCCGCAGTGGAGACACCCCAGCCCGTGCCCGCAGTTGTAAAACCTCAGTCCACACTTGCCATGGAGAAATGTCAGTTTCTGCTTCCAGCAGAAAATTCTCATTTGTTGCCTATGATACAGAAGTCCCAAGCTGTATGTGCAACAGAAGATTCTCAGCCCACAACTACAATGGAGAAATTTGAAACCATGTCAGCAGGGGCACAATCTCGGTCTATGCCAGCAGGGAAACAATCCCAATACATTTATGTAGCAGAGCAAAGCCAGTCCATGCCTGCAGCAGAACTGTGCAACCTCATGGATGCAGAAGATCAGTCCCAGGTTTTACCTACTAAGGAACAGTTTCAGTTCTCACCTGCCACAGAGTCCCTAACTGCTCTAGCAATAGAATGTAAACAGGCCGTACCAGCAGAAGAAGTCCTTCTGCCCGTATCCTTGGAAAGTTCAACACAACAAGCAGAATCACAGCAGATTAAAACAGGCAGCATTGTTAAGAAGCGGTGGCAACACAGAAACTATCTGAATACTCAACAGATTTATTCTACTCCACAACCAGCTCTTGGGGCTAAAACAGAGCGAATACTTTCACAACTATCCACTTCACCTGGTAGGAACATTTCCCATTGCATTCTGTGCGTGTTCTAGAGTCAGATTAATTCAAACCTTTCTAAAAAGCATTATCCTGGAAGACGTAAACATAATCTCTGGCTTTATTTGCAGATTTATAAATTTACTATCTCTTGCTTGAAAGAAACACTTCATTTCCTTATAGGAATATGGGATTTTGGAGTAGAAGTATTCCATTTGGCCCTTTGAGACTGCTCCACCATTAAATAAGATCGTGGCTGATCTGGTTGTTGTCCTAACTTCACTTTCCTGTCGGACCCCTATTGTTCATCAAACATCTATCCAGCTGTGCCTTGAACAAACTCAATGACCCAGGCTACACACACTTCTGGGGAAGAGAGTTCATCGACTTTTTTTTATTTATTCAATCATGGGATAAGGGATGTTGCTGGCTAGGCAGCATTTATTGCCCATCCCTAATTGCTCAGAGTACAGTTAAGAGTCAACCACATTACTGTGGGTCTAGAGTCTCATGTAGGCCAGACCAGGTAAGGATGGCAGTTTCCTTCCCTAAAGGACCTGCTGTGCTTTTCCAGCTCCACATTTATTGACTCTAGCTTCCAGCATCTGCAATCGTTATTGGGTCCAATCTGTTTAATCTTCCTTCATATGATCAGCCCCTTATCTCAGGAATGAATCAAATGAACCTTCTCTGAAATGCATCTAGTGCAGTTGCATATTTTCAGGAAGAGATAACAAGAAAAATTTGCTTTATTAAGGAAAGCACTTTTAAGTGCTTTGCTGACTAGCCTCATAGCCAATAGGAAGAGGAATGAAGATGTTGCCCCGGGGCAAGCATGCTAATGATCACTTTAAATCGGGACATTTTTTAGAAAGGTATTTTACCAAATCGGGGACAAAATGTGGTATCAAATGGATAAAAAGGAAGAAAGATGCTAATGTAGGGCAGTGGTGGGAGATTGGGAAAAGTGAGAGTTTGAGTTAAAAAGATGCTTTCAACAGTTTTAAGGTAAAGATACGTAGAGTGTTTGAAGAGATGGAATTCAGTAAAGTCAGCTTGTTGTAGCTGTTGACTGCTGTACCAAGATTTCTACTGTGTTCCATTAATATTTATCACAATATACAATGTGGAACGCCTATCTGCTTACGAAGCCTACGTGGTTGTTACCAGGAAAATTAGCTGACTTTGCATGTTCTCTACTTTTGCATTGGATTATATGTATGTGGATAATGTGGCTGTGCTTTTACTTGTGTGACCTTATTTTAATGCAAAAAAAACCCCACTAGAATTAAACCAAGACATTCATTTGCATTTTTAGTTGCTTTGCTGACCTGTGGTGCAGTTTTAAATATTTTTACTTCCTGAATTCCTAGATCTCTTTGTTCTTTTGCCAAATTCATTTTCTTATTTTCAAAGGTGTAAGTGATGATTCTACTTTTCGAGGAGAGTTTGGAAGTAGTGAAGTTGAATTAGTATAAGGCTCTGATCAGGCCATTCTTAGACAACTATGTTCAGTACCACTGTTCTATATTACATGCTGTAAAAAAGGATAGACAAGTACTGGAAAAAGTACAGAAAACATTTATGAAGGTCATACCAGAATTGACAACTTACAATTTTTGGAAAGCTTAAATAGGATTAGGCTTTTGTTTAGAAATTAGAAGACTTAACGAAGACCATTCCAGGTCTTGAAAGTTATGAATGAATTGGACGGGGCAGGTGTGGAGAGAGTGTTTCTATTTGTGATAGAGTCCAAAGGTTATGTCAGTAATCCAAGATAGTTACAGATAAATCTAGAAGAAAAATCTGAATGGTTTGAACATGGAGCTCATGACCTCAAGAAGTGGTTGAGGCAAGTAACTTAACTGCGGTCAGTAAAGAAACTGCGTGAAATATGAGAGACTAGGGGAATAGGTACGCATAGGCCAATGAGTGTGTTGCTGAAAGGCTGAGATAAGGCACATTGGAAGGAGACTTGGGAATATAAACTCCACAAACAAGTTTAACATACGAGCATAAGAAACAGGAGCAGGAGCAGGAGTAGGCCATCTGGCCCCTTCAGCCTGTTCCGCCATTCCGTAAGGATGATCTTTTGTGGACTCTGCTCTACTTGCCCACCCACTCACCTCAACCCTTAATTCCTTTACTGTTTAAAAATCTATCTATCTTTGCCTTAAAAACATTTAATGAGGTAGCTTCAACTGCTTTACTGGGCAGGGAATTCCACAGATTCACAATGCCTTTGGTGAAGACATTCTTCCTCAGCTCAGTCCTAAATCTGTTCCTCCTCATTTTGAGGCTATGCCCCCTAGTTCTAGTTTCACCCACCAGTGGAAACAACCTCCCTGCCCTGCTTTTATCTTATCTATTCCCTTCATTAGTTTATGTTTCTATAAGATTCCACGCCCCCACCAATTCTTCTAAATTCCAATGAGTATAGTCCCAGTCTACTTAATCCCTCATCATACGTCAACCCTCTCAACCCCGGAATCAATCTAGTGAACCTCCTCTGCACGTCTTCCAGTACCAGAACATCCTTTCTGAAGTCAGGAGACAAAAACAATACACAGTACCCCAGGTGTGGCCTCATCAGCATCCTATACATCTGCAGCATAAGCCTCCTGTTTTTAAACTGCATCCCTCTAGCAATGAAGTACAAATTCCATTTGCTTTCTTAATTATCTGCTGGACCTGTAAACCAACTTTTTTGTGATTCATACACAAGGCCACCCAGGTTCCTCTGCATAGCAGCATGCTGCAATTTTTCAACATTTAAATAATAGCCCATTTTGCTGATATTCCTACCAAAATGGGTGGCCTCACATTTACCAACATTGTAATCCATCTGCCAGACCCTTGCCCACTCGCTTAACCTATCTATATCCCTCTGCAGACTTTGTCCTCTGCACACTTTGCTCTACCACTCATCTTAGTGTCATCTTGTGAACGTTTACGCACCAACTCCAAATCATCTGTGTAAATTGTTGCAACACTGATCCCTGAGGCACACCACTAGCCGTTGATCGCCAACCAGAAAAATGCTTGTTTACCCCCACTCTTTGCTTTCTGTTAGTTAAGCAATCCTCTGTCCATGCTGATACGTTACCCATAATACTGTGCACCTTTATCTTGTGCAGCAGCTTTTTGTGCAGCACCTTGTCAAATGCCTCTGGAAATCCAGATACACCACATCCACCTGTTGTTTACCACGTTCGTAAGGTCCTCAAAGAATTCCAGTAAATTAGTTAAACTGACCTACCTTTCACAAACCCATGCTGCATCTGCCCGATGGGACAGTTTCTATCCAGATGTCTATTTGAGGTTTGGATGATGAATCATCAAGAATGATGAATCATAAAGTGTGATAACAAGGTGTAGAGCTGGATGAGCACAGCCGGCCAAGCAGCATCAGAGGAGCAGGAAAGCTGACGTTTCAGGCCTAGACCCTTGTACCATATGTTAACTTTAATACTTTCTCTGGACTGTTAAATTAATTTGTTTCTTATTTTGTTGTCAGTTTTCAAGTCATGCAGTTTGATATTTTTCTAATTAACCTCTTCGGAGATGTTAGCGCACACCTCTGGAGCAGATGGGACTTGAACCCAGGTGCAATTTAAAATGATATGCGGTTATGGAAAAGTGTTCTATAAATTCTGTTGCAGAAAATGCCGAAGGAAAGCGTCAAAGAAAACCAACAAAGAAGCTATTGGAATCAACAGAAGATTTTGATCAACTTTTTATCCCAAAGAAGAAATTTAAACAAGATCCTCATCGCTCACTAAAGGTGTGTGTCTTGATTTCTTCAAAATCTATCTTTCCTAAATAATGTAAACATTTTTGAAAAGGTAAACAATTTCAGCAGTGGTTTAAGATTTTACAAGTTCACAGTGTTCCTGTTGTGAATGTTTGGGTTCTAGTTTTACAGGGTTGAACAAATCTCAACACAAATTCTTTGAGAAGAGCCATACCAGACTCAACATTAACTGTTTCTAGCTCCACACATACTGCTGGGCCTGCTAAGTTTCTCCAGCCTGCTCTCTATTACATAAGTTGTATTGTCAGACTATGTCATTGCCACCAGATGAACAGTTATTGCTTCCGAAGTTATATCACACAATAGCAAAATTAGAGTGTTACAACATCACCGTACATTGTAAATGATTGTACTTTAATGTTTATGTTAGCCCTGAGCAATGATTATATGAAATTAGTACAACAGATTTTCAGATAGAGAGTAGATAGCAAGAACTGCAAATGCTGGAGTCAGAGACAATACAATGTGGAGCTGGAGGAATACGGGCAACATCAGAGCGACAGGAAAGTTGACATTTTAGGTCGGACCCTTCTTCAGAAATGGGGAGGGGGAGGGAGCTGGGAAGTAGAGGGAGGAGAGTGGGGCTGGGAAAAGGTAGGTGGGATGGTGATAGGTGCTTGCAGGTAGGGAGTGGTATGGATTGGTCAGTGGGATGGATGGGGCAGATAGGTAGGAGAGAGGATGGACAAATTGTGTCAGGTCAAGGAGGCGGGATCAGGGGGAGGGTTGGTCATGGGATGAGGCTAGGGGTGGGGAGATTTTAAAACTGGTGAAACCCACGTCTAGGCCATTGGGCTTTAGGCTCCTGAGGCGGACTTTGAGGCGTTGCTCCTGCAGCGTGCATGTGGCATCATTGTGGCATTGGAACAGGCCTAGGATGGACATATCATCCAGGGAGAGTGGGGGGGGTGGGGAGTTAAAATGGTTGGGGACCGGAACGTGTTGCCGATTATAGTGTACAGAGTGCAGATGCTCCACAAAATGGTTGAGGGTAGTTTTGATCACCGGAGGGGGGTGGATGTTGCGGTCCTTGAAATAGGAGGACAGTGAGGGAGTGGAACACTCCATCTTGGGAGCAGATGCAGCGGAGGAATTGAGAGTAAGGGATCGCATTCTTAAAGGAGGGTGGGTGGGAGGAGGTGTAGTCCAGATAGCTATGGGAGTTGATGGGATTAAAATAGATGTCGACGTTGAGGCAGTTACCAGAGATGGAGACAGAGAGGTCCAGGAAGGGAGGGAGGTATCGGAGATGGTCCAGATGAATTTGAGGTTGGGGTGAAAGATGTTGGTAAAGTTGATGAACTTTTCGAGCTCCTCATGGGAGTATGAGGCAGCGCCAATACAGTCATCAATGTAGCAGAAGAAATGATGAGGGATGGTGCCAGTGTAACAGCAGAAAAAGGACTGTTCCACGTATCCTACGAAGAGGCAGGCATAGACCCACACTGGTGCCCATAGCCATCCCCTTAGTTTGTAGAAAGTGGGAGGAGTTAAAGGAGAAGTTGTTCAGGTTAAGGACAAGCTCTGTTAAGCGGAGGAGGTGGAGTGCATGGGTGGTGTCCCTGACATAGGTGGGGAGTTCCTGGACCGGGTGGAAAAGACAGAGTCAAGGTAAGCGGAGATGAGTTCAATGGGGCAGGAGCAATGGGTCGGCCAGGGCAGTCAGGTTTGTGGATTTTGGGAAGGACATAGAAATGGGTGGTGTGAGGTTGGGGAACGATGAGGTTGAAGGCTGTAGGTGGGAGGTCACCAGAGGTGATGACATTATGAATGGTCTGAGAGACTATGGTTTGGTGGTCGGGGGTGGTAGGAGGAAGTGTCAGAGATTTGGCACCTCCGTGATGTAGAGATCAGTGTGCTATACCATTACTGTGACCCCCTTATCCGTGAGTTTTCCGCTGTTACACCGGCACCATCCCTCATCTCTTCCTTCGCTACGTTAATGACCGTATCGGCGCTGCCTCGTGCTCCCATGAGGAGCATGAACAGTTCGTCAACTTTCACCCCAACCACAAATTCACTTGGACCATCTCTGATACCTCCCTCCACTTCCTGGACCTCTCCATCTCCATCTCTGGTAACTGCCTCAACACCGACATCTATTTCAAACCCACCGACCCTCATAGCTAATTGGACTACACCACCTCTCACCCACCCTCCTGCAAGAATGTGATCTCTTACTCCCAAATCCTCCGCCTCCGCTGCATCTGCTCCCAAGATGGAGTGTTCCACTCCC